TCAGTGGTTGAGCGTCAACCTATGAACCAGGAGGTCACGGTTCAATTCCTGGTCAGGGTACATGCCCGGGTTGCGGGCTTGATCCCCAGTGTGTGGCTTGCAGGAAATAGCCAATCAATGATTCTCTCTCATTGATGTTTCTATCTTTCTCCCTTCCTCTCTGATATCAATAAAAATATATTTTTAAAAAATTAAAAATGCACGTACAAACAAAATTTATAAAAAAACAAATAGCAAGATGACACAAATCTAGCAGTGCCTATAATTTAATTAATTATAAAGAAAATAAAAATTGTCAAGTTTGATTAAAAAAAAAGGATTCAAATATATGCTGCTTAAAGGAAATGCATAAAATACTTATAGGTTGAAACAATAAGAATGGAAAAAGAAAAAGATACACCATAAAAAGGTGGGTAGATTATATCAAACAAGGATTATAACCAGAAATAAAAAATGACATTCCAAAATGATAGAAGGGTAAATCATCAGGACGATAGAACATACATAAATGTACACATACTCAATAAATGTGTATGTACTCAATAACATAGCTCAAGTTACGTAAGCCAAAACGGACAGAACTAAGCTAAACTAAAGCAAGGAATGGACAAATCCTCATACTATCTATCAAGTATCAGAACTGAACAAAGACATTTTCAGAAATACAAAGTATCAAAAAAATGTATTTCTCACGTACCCTTTCTCAAGAAGCTAATTAACAATGGACTCCAATAAAGCAATAGTAATCCAAAAAGACAATGACCTGGGAAGGAGCTGAAGGAAATTCCTAAGAGGGGTTTGAAGGAGATTGCAGGATGGCAGTGATTCTCTACTGATACCAAATTGCTTGTACAAACTGGAACAGTGTGATTCAAAAGAAGAAATTTTGAAGGCTGTCATCAAAATGATGTCTACAACCACTGATTAACCTTTTCAACCTGAGGCAGAATGCCCGAATGAACCTGGCCCAAATTCTTTTTATTTATTTATTTATTTTAAAATTTTTATTACAAAGGGTATTACATATGTGTCCATTTCCAAATTCTTTTTTTTAAAAAAAATGTATTTTTATTGATTTCAGAGAGGACGGGAGAGAGCTAGAAACATCAATGATGAGAGAGAATCACTGATTGGCTGCCTCCTGCACACCCTTCACTGGGGATTGAGCCCGCAACCTGGGCATGTGCCCCTGACCGGAATCGAACCCGGGACCCTTCAGTCCACAGCTGATGCTCTATCCACTGAGCCAAACCAGCTAGGGCCCAATTTTTTTTCTTTCTTTTTTTTTTTGCAAGGTCCACGCTTTATCAACACACCAAGGGCCCTGTGCACCTGTGGGGTCCCTCGGCCTGGCCTGTGTCCTCTCGCAATCCGGGCCCCTTGGGGGATGTCGGAGAACCAGATCAGGCCTGATTCCGCAGGCCAGGCTGAGGGACCCCACTGGTGCATGAATTTGCACACCGGGCCTCTAGTCAGAGACTAAAAAGCAGCCCACTCTAATTATATTCCTGCCGGACCTGATCCACACTATGACCCTGCCAGATGGCTCAATCTTATGTTTTCCTGTTTCTCATGACTTTGCCAATGACAATTTCTCCAATAAAAATTTTTGTAAATCCAGAGACTATTCAGCTCATCTCCTAGAAGCCTTTATCCAATACCAGCAAAATTTCTAGACATTGGATTTGTGCTTGATAAGTTTTGCTACACTGCTTACTCCCCAGTAAGACCATGATTTTAGGAGAAACCAAGATGGCGGCATAAGTAAACACCAGAAATTGCTGCCTTGCACAACCACTTCAAAAATACAACTAAAAGACATCATCCAGAATGACAGGAAGGCTGGCTGAGTGGAAATTCTACAACTAGAAGGAAAGAGAAAAGCACACTGAGACGCAGAGGAGGTGCGGAAGTAAAGTGCAGAGGTACAGAGGTGCACGTGGAAAGGGCTGGCAACTGAGTAGAAGGAAAGAAAAGCACACTGAGACGCAGAGGAGGTGCGGAAGTAAAGTGCAGAGGTACGGAGGCGCACGTGGAAAGGGCTGGCAGCTGAGGACTCGGCGCACGTGGAAAGGGCTGGAAACTGAGGACACAGTTGTCTTTTTTAATTGGGAGGGAGTCTCAAGCTCCTGACTACTCTGAACTCCAGTTCCGGATGAGTCTCTGGGGACCTAGACTCATACAGGAGAAACTGGACTGTCTGGCATCGGTTGGAACTCAACGACGGCTTTCTCTCAGAGGTGCTTGCAGCGATTACTGCGGCACACTGAGACCCGGGGCCTCCTATGGTAGGCTGAGGAGCAGCCATAGCTGCTTGTTCCACTCTGTTGATCCCCAGAGACCCTGTCCCACCCAAGCTGTGCGCATAGGCTTTTGCATATGAAAGACCTGGCCCACTGCAATCTGAAAATTACCTAACAAACTGCAGCTGGGTCAGAGAAACCCAGAACTTCCAAAAGAAGGCCCAAGGCCCCAGAGCAGCTTGCATTGCTTCACAGCTGGGCTCTGCTGGGTAGCCTCAGGCAGAGGCTAGATTAGCACTTCCTTAGAGATCCAAGAGCCAGTGTAACCAGTGGTCAGAGTGGGACCATCCAGATTACAACTCCTCAGATCCATAAAGGACACACTCAGTCCT